TCTGGGCCGGGCCCGCGCCGTGGGCAGCGCAGAGGCGCCTGGCGGCGGTGAGTCCAGCAGACGCCTCTGTTTGTGTTGCAGGCAGGGTGGGGCTGTGGAAGGACATCTTCACTGTGTCCATGAACGAGAAGTTCGACCTGGTGTACAAGCAGAAGATGGGGAAGTGCGACCTCGCCTTCGACTTCTGCTTGTAGTGGCCGGCGGCCCCGCATGCCCACGCCCCGCCGCCCACGCCCACGCCACGCCCACGCTCGCCGCTGCAAGTCCCTGCGCTCTGTCACTTGCGGGCCCTGGGGGGGCAGCCAGGAAGAGGGGCCGGCCGAGCGGCTCCCCGCGCCCCTGGGAAGCATGAGGCGCGGCCCGCCTGCCTTTTACAGCCCCTGTATTTACTGTATTTTATAGAGCTTTCACGGGAGTCTGAATAAATGTCCGTCGACCCAACACAAGTTCATTTCCAGGGCCTCAGGAGTGAGCCGCGCCCGGACGGAGGCAGATCTCAGGGTGGACACTTGCTTTTTGTCGTTTGCTTCCGCAAGGCACAGGCCCTCGGTTCTCCCCGGGTTCTGGGACGAGGGGTGAAGGGTGAGTTGGGGTACAGTGGGGAGACCTGTTTACGGATGGAGCTCGGCTCTTTGTAACCTTCCTGAAATAAAGCAGAAGCTGTTTACCAGGGTGTTTGCAGAAAGGGTCTCCCTTTGCAAGAGGCCTCCGGGGTGGCCACGGCAGCTGGGCACAGCATTGGGTGGACGTCCGCCCGGCCGGCCAGCAGTGGAGCCGTTTGTGGGGCCTCTGCTGTCTTCCCGGTTCCCTCACGTGGGGCTCGCGGGGGCTGCAGGTGCCCGGCATGTGTTTCTAGAACCCGGGTTTGTGGTCAGTTGGAGGCGCCCGCTTTGGGGAGCCCCTCCCCCAGGCACTCCGGCCCCCCGTCCTGTGCCTCCAAGAGGGTCCCCTGGCCACTCAGATGGCTGGGAAGCGCGGAGTGGGGTCTCTGAGCCCCGGGCCCGGGGCCTGTTTGTCTCCAGAGAGCTGCTGAGTGGGCGGTGGGCCCGGCCTCCCCTGCGGGCTCGGCGTGGGGGCTGCTCGGGGGGTCCTGGGGCTCCTGTTCTGTTTCAGCACTGGGTGAGTGGCCAGTGCCACGCAGTGCCCGTGCTGGCTCCATCATAACAAAGACGTGTCCAGGGTGAGCTGAGGGCAGGGTCGGGGCCGGTCCCCAGGTGTCGGTGCGCGGCGGGGCCCCTCCTGCGTCCCCGCGAGGACGGCCTGGACGCCCCGAGTGCTCAGTTCCTCTCACTCCTCGTCCCCCTTTGCTGACTGGGCCGAGACGTTAGAGCAGGAAGGGAGAAAAGCACGGGGAGCCTCGGGCCCTCAGCCCTCTCCCATGGGGGTGCCTCGGGGCGGTGGACTGACCCTGCCGTTTGCATCCGAGTCCACCTTCCCGTTTCCCCGTGGAAGGAAGGTCCAGGAGGTGGTCTGGGCCAGCCTGGCCACCGTGGCGGCAGGAAGGCTCCGGGTGGTCTGGGCAGAGGGCACAGGGGAGACCAGAGCCCTCGGGGGCTGCTTCGGGCTCCGATGGTCTTTCTGTGCCACCGGCGGCACAGGTGGGGAGGGGCCGGCAGCCCCCCGGGGTCTTCACCCCGGGCTCTGGAGCACGCGCGCTGGCCTCTGGGAAGCCGCACCCGCGTGCCCAGCCCCCAGGCTCGCACAGTGTCCAGCATGGCTCCCAAGCGCCTCCTGCGTGCAGAGCCGCCGGTGATGGCGCCGAGGCCAGGGCGCAAAGGCCTTGCCGCGCCGTTTACCCGTCGCCTTTCCACGTGGCTGGTTCCGCAGGTGAAGTCCTGGAATGGTTTGGGCATCTGGAGTTCCCCGGGTCCCAGAGCAGCTGGTGGACTGGCCGGTCTGCTCTTCCGGGGGCTGCCGCAGGTCACCCCTGAGCCGCCAGCACGAAGCTGGCCCAGCCCAAGACTGTGCCCGCTGCGGGGTGGGGAGATGGGGAGGCCCCCCCCGGCCCCGCCCCAGAGTTTGCACTTCCTCCCTTTCACGGACTCAGGTGCCCAGCCCACACGCTACACGAGCATGCGGGCGGCTGCCCAGGCGCGTGGACAGAGGGGCGCTGAGCGCCGTGGGGCGAGAAGGCGATGCGGCGAGTCCAGGGGCCGCTGTGCTCCCTGGGGAAGGGAGGGGCAGTGGGGCGGGGGAGGCTGGGGAGACGAACTCGGCGCTGGGGCCTGCGCAGGAGCCCTCACGGGCCTACAGCTCCTGGGCTCGGGTCCTATAGGAGACATGGGAAGCCACGAGCTCCCTGCAGGGAAGCCCACCTGGGCTGCAGCTCAGCTCGTGTGGACCAGTGGGCCCTGCCCTGTGGGACACGACGGGGTGAATGGGTGCCTTCAAGGTTCTGGCACCCGCAGCCCCTCCAGATGCCCTTGGGCAGTGTGCCGGACTCACCGAGGCCCCGCCGGGCACGCGGAGCGGGGAGGGGATCTGCAGGCCACAGGGAAGCCAGCGTGGGACTGGGGTGGCCGGGACTGCTTTTCGGTGGGGGGGGGGGGCTGCATCAGGACAAGGATGGGATTAACGTGGCGCTCGAGGGCTGGGGACGCAGTGGGAGATGTCGAAGTGCAACAGCAGTCCTCCGGGGGCGGTCAGCGTTAGCCTGGCCTTGGCTGCTCGGGCCGGTCAGATTCCACAAAGCCTTTTGGGGACCAGCTTCGGGTTTGCTCCCAAACAGGAGCGGTCAGCTACAGGCCGCCCTGCCTCTCTGTCTCTGTGCCTTGGGGACTGGGCCCCTTGTTTTCCCTCCACACGCTGGATCTTCATCCAAGAGGGCGCTGCGAAGGGCCCTCCCGCCTGGGCAGGTGGGTCACAGAGGAAGGGCGTCCACATCACTGGTGGCACAAGAGTGATGTGGCTTCAGTGCTCTGCACCCAGCACGTGGACACAGCGCCCCCTCGTGGCCAAGATGCACTGGACAGCGGGTCCGTCCACAGCAGGTCAGGCTGGGGAACCCTGGGCTCTGTGGCTCCCAAGTGCTGGACAGTGTGACCCCTTTCCTGGGAGGGGTGGCCGCGGTTGGTAATGGGGGTAGAATCCTGGGGGACTGTTCGCTCGAGCTCCACCCAGCCCTACCCTTGCGATCCCACTGTCCACTCTACTGGGAGGCGTGTCGGTCACGCGGGCCAGCCTGGCCGAGCCGCCTCCCTCTGCTGCACTGCTGGGCGGAAGGCTGACCGGGACCTCCAGTGTGGCAGTCCAGGAGGGGGCAGCCCTGCCCACACCCCCCAGGGGCAAGTGAGGTGGAAACGAGGAAACAAGTGTGCTTTTCACAGAAACATGAAAAATGTCTCAGGGGAAACACTGGAGCGAAGAGGCTTTTTAAAACACTGAACAGAATGAGCTGGCAAAGCCTCGGACGGAGAGCTAGATCACCCTGGAGTATGGGGAGCCACTCTCGTGTCTGAGCAAACAGGACCGGGCTCCCCACCCCGCTGCGTGGCCAGGACGTGCCCCTGCGCTCCGCGGTGAGCCCAGCTTGCTTTAAGACCCTCCCTAAGATGGGGGAGCCGCCACACGTGTGCACAGCCACCTGGGCCACAGCGTGCCTGGGGAGAGTGCTCACAAAGCCCGGGGCCTTGCAACTGTTTAGACACCTGGTGGGCTGAGTGGGCGAGCGAGAGCAGGTTTAGGCGAGAGCACATAGGGTTAGTAAATTCCTACTGCAACGTCGCAGTCCTTGATGCTGGATGTGTTAGGTATTTTTATAACAGGCCTTTTTTTATCTTTTAAAGATGTATTTATTTATGCCTACAAGAACTGGGGTACAGGCCAGAGGAGTGGGGGGGGAGAGGACTTACCAAGACAGAGTGGGGAGCAGAACAGGCGGATCTACTGAAGCACACTGCTGAGGGGGCCGTGGGGAGACAGGAGGGGTCTGCTGCGCCCCGGGGTCGCTGCAGGGGCTGGTGACAGCTTGACCCGTGCAGACTTTAACCCCTGCGCCACCGGGGAGGCCGGTCACAGGCCTTAATTACAGCGCTCTTTAAGAAGAGCACAGAGAGGCCGACCCCAGGGAACAGCTGACGCTGTGTGGCTCTCAGCCCCGGAGCCGCGAAAGCAGACACCGGAGCATACTGGAAGCGGCGCTGGCTGAGGGACTGCTGGACTGGTCAGACGCTAAACGGCATATTCAAAACTTCGTCATGCACCACCAGCAGGCCAAAGGCCATCCCGAGGCTCACCCTAAGAGCTTTCGGGGGAGAGAGCACACAGCTTCCAGAACAGCTGTCACACAGGCTGAGAACTCTGCAGCAGAGTGACGACAACCGGACCGTCACCGCAGCCCTCCGGGACCCGAACCCAAGCTCCGCGTCCAGCAGGACATGCTTTATGGAGGGACATGAGCGGACGTGTTCCGGCGAGTCAAAGCTGAGCCGGCTCGCGGGCAGCCGAGTGACGGCGTCACCCAGCTCGTGTGGGAGACGGGGAGAGCCGCAGCATCCAGACGCGCAGACAGGCCGTCTCAACCACACCGCGGGCGCGGTCTCGTCAGCCCCCGGTGACGCCCCAACGGCGGCGAAACGCGTCTCACCTCCGAGAGCATTTGCCAACCTTGGTGGTCAGAGTCCAAAAATCTCAACCAACTTACTGCGCGTTTGCTGTCTGCAGCGGAGTCACGGAGGACGAAGACTCCAGGCCGCTGGGCTCCGCCACCCACAGCCGGGCGCACAGTGGACATGAGCGGAGACGTGGCCTCGGTCCGGGAGCCCTGACCAAACTCGTGGGGGGGTTCTCGGGGACCTGAGCCCCGAGCGATGGGTGATCTGGGATGGAGGAGTCGGGGAGACCTTGGAAGCCAGCGAGAGCGTGTTGCGGTAGCAGGAAGGACCAGCTGGCTGCGGGGGCCATCCGGGCACAGGGCAGAGCGGTGCTCGCGGCGCCTGGCAGGTGCCGCGGGGAGACTGCTGGAAGCCGCGTACAGAGCAGGCACAGCAGCGCCTCCGGGAAGCGGGGCGTGAGGGGAGGCGCGGAGACGGCGCACGAGGGGCTGGTCACTGGCGACCACGGGCGGCCGCAGTGGCTGAGCCCCTCGGCACGTTGGGTCTCCGGGCCCACTTGCATGTGTGCGAGTGGTGAGGACCGACGAGCTTGTTCCCACGGTCACCCTCGGCCTGCTGCGGGTTGCACATCTCCAGCTTCTGGACAAAGCTTCTGCGCTCGAGAGAAATTCAGAGCGGGCGGCACGAGCGGACAGCACGATGATGAAATGGGCGTGCCCCACTTTGAGAACTGCTGGGCAGCGCAGCTCCGGCGCGGAGGCACCGGCCTGGGCAGAGACTGGCGCGGAGCAGGGCAAGTGTAAAGGGCGGAGGTGGACGGGCGCCCGTGGGTGCGGATTCTGGCTTCGGGACCGGCCAAGGCTGGCGCCACGAGGTACAGGGTGCAGGTCAGAGCAGGGGAAGCGTGCGGGCCACCTGGCGAGCTGCGCACACCGGCGCGGGCATGAGCAGGCTGCTCACAGGGCCGCAGGGCACCTGGTAGCCAGCAGGCTGGGAGCCTCGGCAAGTCTCGCCCCTGGCTGCTGCCCCTTCCCACAGGGAGTGGGCTGACGGCGGTCAAGGGCACGGAGCAGAGGCGGCGTCTTCCTGGGTGCCGAGTCGGTTCCCCTAGCGGTGCCCT